GTGAAATTGGGTGTCAAAACTCTAATTTGACATTAAAACTAGAATGATCATATCATAGGGAACATGTGTACTAAGTTTCAAATTGATTGGATTTCAACTTCATCTAAAACTACCTTGACCAAAAACTTTAACCTGAAGCGGGACAGACGGACGGACGAACTGACGGACGAACGGACGGACGAACGGACGCACAGACCGAAAAACATAAAAATAAACGAGAAAATCAACAGTCTGATTTATATACACAACAACAAAGGAAAACAAATATGATAAATACAGTAACAAACGAAAACCACTGAATAACAGGCTTCAAACTTGCGACATACAGAATGTAGCGGGGTTACACATGTTAAAGTCTGTTTCGTATCTTGACTTACATTTCAACTTCTTTTAGACTCGGGACGATTTAGAGCTTGCCAAAGAAGGTCGGTTGTGAACAAAATTTTAAGTCAAAGGGGCGATTCCAGAATTTCAATTGTGAACTTTCCTTTTATATTAGATAAATATGCATTGTAGTCATGAAAACAATACACTTATTCAATAATTTTATATCATATTCAAACAGATGCAAATTTGTTAATGATAGATGGAGGTGAAAACGCATCATGCAGTAACATCCTCGGATGTTTACCTCAAGGCATATATTTTTATCGTTTTCAAAGCCCGCTAACAGGTCAGTCTTATGTTGAGAAAACGCGCTTCTTGTGTACCAAATTATAAGCCTAGAAAATTTGATTAGTTTGTATACCCATTTTCGGGAAGCCCTGTAGTTTCTGAAATAAATGCGACAAAATGCCTACATGGCAATAAGTAGTAGAATATAAAAATGCTCTATAAACCAAATGTTAAAAAGCGATTGAGTTCAAGCTCATTAAACCTATCCAGCCTGTTTACATTAAACTTGGTATCAAATTACTTCATAAATCTCTGATTCTGGTTTCTTAGAACGTAATGATAAAAATGTCGAAAATTAAATCGGACGGACGGACGGAAAGACAGACGAAAATTACAGTTCACCGAACCTCGAATATCAATCGAGAATAAACAACTCTTTATATGCCTGACCCAAGTCAGGAGTTTGTCTTTTGTTTCTAATTAGATAAAGTAAACATGATTTTTACATTCGCTCTTGTAAAACTATTTTCCATCGTTTCATCCATTGTGGTCTTCAAATTCAAAAATAATTATGATTTTTTTCAATGCAAATATAATTAAATGTTTGTGCATGAGAATGCTGTTTCATTTTACATAACGCACTAACGCATAAATAACCTCTATAAAACGTTTAATCCCGCTGCAAATTTTTGCACCTGTCCTAAGTCAGGAATCTGATGTACAGTAGTTGTCGTCTGTTTATGTAGTTCATACGTGTTTCTCGTTTCTCGTTTTTATATAGATTAGACCGTTGGTTTTCCCGTTTGAATGGTTTTACACTAGTAATTTTTGGGGCCCTTTATAGCTTGCTGTTCGGTGTGAGCCAATGCTCCGTGTTGAAGGCCGTACCTTGACCTATAATGGTTTAATTTTATAATTGTTACTTCGATGGAGAGTTGTCTCATTGGCACTCATACCACATGTTCCTATATCTATTTATAATTCGACTTAAATCTTAAAATTACACAAACAGAATAATGTGTAGAAAATACTTCTCCAATGTCTTCATGCAAAAATGGTCTTGTTACTCATATAAGGTGACCTTATAGCTGCTTCCGTTTCATGTATTTATGTACCCTTAGCCTTTTTAGTTAGATCATTCCTGATGAAGATTAATCCATAAAAGTGCCAAAGATATAAAGTGTTATTTTCTTTCTGTACAAAAAAAATGCTTGCATGTATCACTTAAGAATTATGTTAACTATACTTATACTATTTTTTCGATTTTTCACACTTTTCTGGATTAACCTTCTGGGAAAAGACTTTATAAGTTTGATTAACTTGTGTCTCATCCCTTTTGCATATTTAAAAAAAAAATATGTTTAAATAAAATAAAAAATGGAAATGGGGAATGTTTCAAAGAGACTTCAACCCGACCAAAGAGTAAAAAACACAGCTAACACTATTTTTTTCATCAATATGCCTCTTCCTGTGTACACAGACGTGCCGCTAGTATGAGTCATTGTTTTGGAATGTCAAATATATCAATGGGGTACAATTTCACAGAGGTAATATATCGATGGGAAGAATAAAATTGAGAATGGAAATGGGAAATGTGTCAAAGAGACAACAACCCGACCTTAGAGCAAACAACAGCCGAAGGCCACCAATGGGTCTTCAATGCAGCGAGAATCTCCCGCACCCGGAGGCGTCCTTCAGCTGGCCCCTAAACTAGTTCAGTGATAATGGACGTTATACTAAACTCCAAGTTATACACAAGAAACTAAAATTAAAAATGATACAAGACTAACAAAGGCCAGAGGCTCCTGACTTGGGACAGGCGCAAAAATGCGGCGGGGTTAAACATGTTTTTTTGGATCTCAACCCTCCCCCTATACCTCTAGCCAATGTAGAAAAAACAAACGTACAACAGTATGCACAGTAAAACTCAGTTTAAGAGAAGTCCGAGTCTGATGTCAGAATAAGAAACAAAAGAAAATAAACAAAATGACAATAATACATAAATAACAACAGACTACTAGCAGTTACTGACATGCCAGCTCCAGACCTCAATTAAACTGATTGAAGGATTATGTCTTCATCATATGAATATCAGGCACAATCCCTCCTGTTAGGAGTTTAAGATTATACCATCATAAAATATATGAGAAGAACATAACCCGTGTCATGCCAACAACTGGTTTTAGAATAAATATGTTTAATTTTGATGCAAAGACCCTATAAGTGAATCAATATTAAAGCCAAAATATGCAATCTTTAATGACCTGACAACAGTATCGTAACTATATCCCTTCTTAATAAGTCTGTTTAAAGGTTTTGTTAGCTTTAGAGGTGAATACTGACATTTTTGTGCTTTGTAAAGAATATTACCATAAAAGATTGGATGTGAAATACCCGAACGTATAAGATGTCTGCATGTTGAGTTATATTTACGAATGATGTCCTTATACCGATGATAAAATTTAGTAAATATTTTGACTAGTTTATGATATCGAAAACCCTGGTGTAATAATTTTTCAGTAATACTAGTACATAAATTTCTCTCGCTAAAATCTAATACGTTGTTACATACACGAGCGAATCGTACAAGTTGAGATATATAAACACCATAAGATGGTGACAAGGGAACGTCACCATCTAAAAATGGATAATTAACGATAGGAAATGAAAAATCATCTCTTTTATCATAAATTTTTGTATTAAGCTTCCCGTTAATGATATAGATATCAAGATCGAGGAAAGAACAGTGGTCATTGTTAGTATTAGCTTTATTTAAAGTAAGTTCAACAGGATAAATTTCTTTAGTATACAGACTGAAGTCGTCATTATTGACAGCCAATATATCATCCAAATATCTAAAATTATTGTTAAATTTTTGTATTAGATGTTGTTTCGATGGATCTTTGCTGATTTTAGTCATAAATTGTAACTCATAACAATACAAAAACAGGTCCGCAATAAGTGGTGCACAGTTAGTCCCCATTGGAATTCCGATAACTTGACGATATACGGAATCTCCAAAGCGAACAAAAATGTTATCAAGTAAAAATTCAAGGGCAGATATAGTATCAAAGCATGTCCACTTGACATATCTTTTGTTTGTTGCTACTAAAAAATGACCTAAAAGAATTTGAACATATGTATTCGCATTCCGACTTTTTAAATGCCCATTTAATTAGGTGTGTGAATTTTTTCTTAATAAGAATATGAGGCAAGTGGTATATAGGGTAGAAAAATCAAAACTTTGAACAGATTCAAAATCACCAATATATGCATGCAATTTATCAAGTACTTCCAACGAGTTTTTGACACTCCAAAAGTAGTTAATTCCACTATTTTTAAAGGCCTTATTTGAACAATTTATTATCAGGTTTTTGATTGTACCAAGTGTACTAGTAAGTAGAATAGACAATTTAGTAGTGGAAAAATGACTTGAAGACGAAATAAATCTATATTTGTAAGGTGATTTGTGTAGCTTCGGAAGCCAGTACATAGTTGGGACTTTCATTGTATTTGGTTCTGCTTGTAAAGAAGTAGCTAATAGTTTATGTTTGTTACAGATATCGTTTTCTGAAAATGAAGTCAGTTGGAATGTTGGTGAATTCGTGATTTCCTTTTGCAGAACCTCAATGTAAAATCTACGTCAAACTATAATGATATTATTAGCAGCTTTATCAGCCGGGACAAAAACAAATTCCTTGGCTAGTTCTTTTAGTTTATGTTTGATACGAGAAATAGGATTTTTATGGTTGTTGTTAAGAGTTAAATGTTCTTTAAAATGTTGTATACGTATATCAACTATCTTCATTACTGAATTAAAAAAAGAGTCCAAAGATTTTTTGTCAGCTTTTCCCCGTTTTATCCATTTCAAACAGTAAGCACGAAGTGAGTCGTGGATGATATTACGACACTCATTCCAATTAATAATTGACGGGGAACGATATTTAGGTCCTTTACTGAGGAATGAAGGAAGAAACCTATATGTCAATGGGTCGTACATCTTCCTTTCTGTTAAGATGTCTGTAATAACTATGCTTTGATCTTTTTATTTCATAATATGAATCACGGATTCAATGTGGTTAACATCTCGTTGATATAAGATGTCATGATAGCTATATTTAAATGGGTAGGGATTTTCGCATAAATCAATATATGAATGGGGGTGTTTTTCAAACCCCAGACGGACATCTGTACCAAAATTTGTAGGTTGAGACCCCCGTGCATGAAATCCAGCAATGGTTTTGCACAAGCGTAATGTTCCATGTTGTCTCGGTTTTAAACCTGTCAAACATTATTCTGTCACGGACAACCTCTAAGAAAAATATACAAAAACAATAGCAAAAGAAAAGTTTATTTAAACATTACAAACTAGAAATATACTACAAGTGATAACATCTATTAAAACAGTGGACGGAATATGAAAAAGAAATCATGACATAAATGAACATATAATACATACATTTGTGTTTAAAAATTGTAAACATTTTATATACACGACTGCTAATTTTTTTTTATGAAACTTTTTTTTCCATGCATAAGTAGATGTTTATGTTTCCTACATTTTGTTTTGTATACTAAAAAAGTTTGATCTTGCAAATTAGAGTTGCGGATCACCACAACACTTTGTAATACGCAAATATACATATTATTTTTTCAACTAATTCTGTCAAAGAGATAAGACCAATTTCCCTTGAATTTATTACATACTGGGTCAATTTAAATTAAACATTTTCAAAATAAGTCATTTAATCGAAACTAATTATCACATTATCACAGCTTATTGTGTTTTGTTACCCTGAGATTTTAACAGCGTAATTGTGTACTCCTGGACATATTCCCAAATTATATTACATATAAAAAAAGATACCAAGGGGACATTCAAACTCATAAGTCGAGGAAAAACTGACAACGCGATTGCAAAAAAAAAACCCCAAAAAACGAAAAAAGACAAAACGACGTAAAGGCAAACAAGTCCATCAAACGCTTCATAAAAAAAATGAAAGACCAAGCAACACGATGACCCAAATCTGCATGTTTTATATATAAGTAATTGAATACTCATCCAAAATTTAAAAAAAAGATACACACTCTAACCCAGATTTAATTCTTCTGTACGTTTAAGTTTATCATGTTTATATTTACTTTAAGATGACGATTCATTAATTTTAGTGAAGGATGTCTTGCGATGTATCCTTTTTAGATAGATATTTACATTTGTAGGAAATTTGTCTTCAATAATGCTTTATAATAATTTTATTGGATCCATACATATGTATTGTTCTATAAATCAGATGGTTATTGTTTTGTTTTGCTTTTGTTTATAAACTTCCCGTAGGCAGACCTAGCAAAGTATATGTATTGGTACGCGAATCCACAAAAAAATATGCATTCAAAGTAAACATACAATAATGATATGTAAAACTGCATCTGTTAATCCAAATAGGTTCTTTTGCAATTTGTACTGTTTGTGAATGTAAGTTGACGTTCCCAATATTAAAAGAGGCCAACTATTCTAAAAATATTTATTTTAAATGATATTTGCGTTTACATTCTTACCCGTTTTCCTATGATCCAAATCCCTATTCAAACTAGTAAAAAAAATGTGAGGTGCTTTCAACTACATTAGGTGTAAAGTAAATACAATATTACGTTTCATTCCATTTCATATGCTTCTCAAACTTTTTTAACTGACAGAACGTACAGAAAATGTTATGTCTGGCAAAGTATTACATGCATAATGAGGATGAAAGATCAAATAACAGTCGCATGAAAAAATATTTTCTGTGTAATTAAGATCAAATAAAACAGAATGAAATAAAACCTTTAAAAATAAATGTCTATAACAGTTTCAATTCAACGGGAATCATGTTTATTTACATGCAAAGATTGTTCATTTAAATGTTTTTGAAAAGAAAGATGCCGTCAGGAATAAAAATGAAAATTCAAACTCTAATTATTTGTATGCTATTCTAAAAAAACGCACACCTATTATAAGGTTTTAGATATATAGATTATTAGTTTTTGCCTGTGGGAACTGGGTCAACAAACGCATGCTTAAACACGGGTTTCTGCACGGAATCCGGTCTTTTTACTGCATCTGGATATGGCCTAAAATGAAAGTTTGTTAAAATGAATCTATTTTGTCATCTTTGAATTTATTCGAATATATAAGATACGATTGATATATATATAAACATAATTATCATATTGATTAAAGTCCGCAGTATACATGTTTTCTTAATAACGTTAGTCATGTAAGCTTTTATAACAAAAACTCGTGGAAACAAATAAATAAAGCAACGTGACCAGAACGTAAGAAATATTAAAGTTTTATGAATTTTAAAATATATCTGCGTTATGGTTAAACTTACTTGACTTTCGTCTTCTTTGGTTGCATTAATTTGAAGAAAACGAAAAGAACAGCTATAACAACAGCAATTCCTACGATGACACCGGCAGCTATTTTCGCTTTATCCGTGCTCTTTACTCGACCTGCAAAAGAAATACATTTTATAATACATTCGATCATGCTGTGTACAAAACTCATCATCCAGTTTATGTCAGCCTGTGGTTATTTCTTAAATATCAATTTCGACTACCCCACAAGATAGCATAAGGTTTTGTTGATATACACCACTGCTATCTGTAAAAAATAAAATAACAAAATTACCGAACTCTTAGGAAAACTTAAAACGGAAAGTTCCTTAACAAAGGGCAAAATCAAAAGCTAAAACACATCAAACGAATGGAAAACAACTGTCACATTTCTGACTTTGTACAGACATTTCCTTATGTAGAAAATGATGGATTAAACCTGGTTTTATAGTAGCGTAAACTCTCATTTTTATGACAGTCGCATGCTTATTTATAGTCTTTGTCAATGTACCACGTTGAGATGTTTTATTGCCTTGCAATTAGAAAAAAAACTTAGGAGAGGAATTTGAAAATTCACTTGTTTTCCAATTCTAAAAAAGCGGCCATATTTGTAATGTTGATGTTATTATTTTCCAAATACAATATTGTTTACACAACCTAGAAAAATAGCAGCTGAACAAATTAGTCATACTTATCGATTTCGTTTTTGGAAAACGCACATACGGGTATTGGAAGAGAAAGATCGAGGACGAGAACTTTCTAGCAGTTTTAGTCTCCAGTAGCTTAGATATATGGGCATACTTTATCTGTCTTCTAGAAAACTGTATGGCATATCTATCAGTATCAATGCTATTACTCAATTAGGATTTTACTGTTTATCTTTAAAAAAAATGATATATGAAAGTACACAGCCGAGTGTTTCTTGAGTAAATAAACTCATCATAAATACCAGGATTAAAATTTTGTACGCCAGACATGCGTTTCGTCTGCATATCACGAGCTAAGTTCAATTAGTTGGTCACACATTTAATCAGTTAAAGGACATAAACACATTATACTATATAGAGGAGGAACCAATGTGTTCATTATTGAGAAGTAATGTCTCATGTAGATCCATCAATAAGTCACAAATTAAATTTAAAACACTTTTTATTTCTTTGACTGAAACTTTTAGAACATATAGAAAATAGAGTGACATATCAGCATCTTTATAGTCGTTATCAACATCCTGTCTGTTAACAAGATATTTATCGAAAATAATTATTTTAGCATTTATGATTCTCATTTCGTAAAAATACTTCAATATTAAAACAATATATGTTATAAAAATGGTTCTTCTGGTTTACTTTTACGACATATGGTCTTTTTAGGACAAACTAGGTTGGTTCTCATGCAAAACTGGTTTGACCCAATCATATTCAAACCAACGCCAGGCTAATAGACTATGTATTTTACGTTTAAGTTGGTCTTCGTTTCTACATTTTTTGCCAAGGGTTTGGTGATGGTGGATTGGTGTGGACTATTGTACTATTCAATATACGTGGTGATTCCTGTTATTTCATTCTGTGTATTATTTGATATAGTCAAGTTATTTAGCATCTCCTTAGATACAATATGCAATATATGAAAAATAAGAAATCCCGTAAGGAAACAGTTTTAAACATTCTAATCTGCTAGGTGGAAAACTAATGACATGGTTGTCTATTGTTTGGCTCCCTGCATAAGAGGGCTGTTCTGAGCATTGCAAAACGTCGTGTCTTCCTCTACGAAATCTACTTTTGAGGCCAGCCACTTATATAAAAGTTTAGAAAGGCATGTTTTATATCAGCAGGTAAAGTAGCTTCCATTTAGTACCTGGCAGCATGCTATGATATTGTCTTGTTTTGAATTGCATTTTATGTCATCCAAAATAGTGTGTGTATTCCGTTTATATCAATTACTGTACTTTGTTTTTTGTATTATGCTCTGTTATTAACATTGTGGTACATGTAGTCCACTGAGTGAAAATAAAAAGGGGAAGCTGTAAAAGTTTAATATCTAACAAAAACCTGTTTCACCCATCAAATGTTTAGTATATATATATATACGGACAGTAAAAAATAATACCTATACATGTTTTTCCATCATGATGAAGTGTATATCTATCACGGCAACTACAAACAAAACTGTCATTTGTATTGGTACACCCATGTTCGCATTTGAACATTTCATTACCAAACATTTAGGTAAATTGTTGAATCAAAAGCAGTCAAATAAGGTATTTTGGTTGATAATTGATTGATTGATTGTGTTGTTTTCATAAAATATAGTTTCAACTATTTCATATCAATATATTTTCAATATCTCAGGCGTACATATATTAAGAACCAAAAGATGGTTTAAACATTATTTTCCTATTTTGAGTTTTTTTTTCATTAAGGTGTAGGTCATGTTTTTTAATTATCTGAAATGTAATCCACATTTTATTTCATGCAGAATGAAAGTGGGTGTCATCCAAAGGTCAATTATTTAGGACGATTTGCATCATTTAGACAAATATGTCAGCAAAGCGTTTCATCAAATAATAATGTTACCTTGTTTGGTATTTTACAGTTATTTTTTTCTTGTTTACTTTATAATTCTTACAAACGTTGTATGTTTGTTTGCTAAATTGTCATTTCATTCATTATTATTATCATAACTGTATCTTCGGGATTTAAAATATATTTATTCTTGAAATAGGTTCCCCGGGGATTCAACCTAGCTAATGCTGCCACTTTCAATATTTATTTCAACCCAGAAGAAAAATTAATGTATAAACTAGAAAAGGTTAACTTTGTTAATTTCATATCTCGAAACTGTTTCGACGATAAAGCTTCAAATGTCCATAGGTTTGTAAAATACAAAATTAAGACAGTAAGTAAGGTCATTAAAAAACTGAAATTGATTTTAATGAAACTTACATTGTAATTATCATTTACATTAACTTTTGCATGTTTGTTTTTCTCCATTAACCAGACTTTATTTATATAAATGTTCAAAAGTTAATTCCTTGAATATATGCGCCTTTATCATACTTTTGTAAATACACATGATACATTACCAACACAACCGGAAACGTCTTTTGATCCTGTTGCTGACGTTTTAAGTCCTGATCCACAAGCAATACATTTTTGCTGATTCTTTGAGGGCTGATACATACCAATATCGCATAACGAACACATTCCATTGCCAAAAAACGTACCAGGGGGACATTCTGCAACGACAAAATATCATTTTGCATTAAATTTTCTGTCTTGCCTCTTTACGTAACTTCAAATATCTTTTTAGTATTGTTGAAGTCGTAACATTACGTTCTTTATTTAACCAAATTACTATCTGTTGCGAATTAATTGTTTCTTAGGTCACTGTGGTATTGATTTTTAGATTTTTTTTATTCTTAAGTTACTTAATTCTTGTTTTCTTTCATCTTTGAGCAAAAAAACCTATGACGTTTTAGGCGAAAACATACTATATGTAGACATTAACATTTCACAGTGTTAGTAAAAACGAAGTAAATTTACCTTTAACAAATACCTCGGCGTCATTTGAGGAGACATTAGCAACAACATTTTCTGCTAAACATTTGTATATTCCTCCTTGAATTTGTTGAATATTGTTTAGCAGAAGTACATCTTGATTGGCACTAATAAGGAGAGTTCCATTGTGATACCAGCTAATTCTAGGTCTTGGGTCACCTATTACATTACAAATTATATTGATGGATGATCCGAGAAGAGCTATTTGATTCGGATCCTCAATTGAAACATTTGGAGGTACTGCGCAAAATACGTTAGAATAATTTAGTCTAGTTAACCATTCGGAAACTTCGACTAGAAGTCTGTTTGTATCTTTGATTGATCTACTGCTGTTAAATAGAAGCTCTGAAAACTGATCTTCAAGGATAGCGGTTGCATTTCTGCTGTATTCTATATCAGGAAGTGTGTCATCATCAAATAGATCATGGAGATTAGAAAACGAGTATAAAACGCAGTCCTTAAAATCATAGCATTCTGTTTCGTCAAAATAGTCTCTTGAAGTATTCGTCATTCCATGAATCCAGTGATCAATTACAGATATGGAATCTTCATCTGCCATCTGTGTATCAAGAAGCTCTGCTGCAAAACTGGTAGCATTTGCCATTTGCGAGAGAGACGAATCATCCGACAACATATCTGTAGCATTTTCAATAGCATTTCGTATATCCTCATCTGTAAGGTTGAATTCTCGCAGTGCGTAGTCGGTGCTTATTCCAAGAGACTCCGCTGTTAAGTTGTCGGCTGTTATTGGGATATTCATGTCATTGATCGTATTTTGTAGATTAATTACGTCATTAAGAGCAGAAGTGGATTCATTTGTCATCATATAAAGGCTTTCAATTGATTCTGATAAAAATGAATATGTGTGACGAAATGATTCACAATTAAAGGCAAAGTATTCAATCTGTGTTTTAAATTTGCTTTTGAAGTGTACTTCAGAACTGTCATCAAAATGTTGAAAGGAACCATTTGTTTGTTCGTTAGAAAAATATTCCGACTGATTTGTCACATCCCTTTTATAAATGTGTATTATGTGATGCAATTTAGACATTGATTTATACAAAATTGACCTTCTTTTGCGTTTTCCAAATATGTCTCCCACGAATTCCAACAAGGTTTTAATTGTAGATTTAGCTATTCTCCACATACTGACTGCTGGATATCTAAAATCAAATTCAAATGTAAATTCATGCCAAAGGAGGTGGAACGCCTGAAGTTCGCACGATACTTCAAAGGCAGCTTTGTCTTCAGTTGAAAGTTCAACCTCAAATCTACAGTTCCTGACATCAAGTAGGGATTGAAGACCATATTTCACAATTAAATCAAATACATGTAATGCTGCTCCTACAATAAACTTAACGGCATCAATGCCAGACTTTGCAATTTCAAGAACCGCTTTAGCGGTTTCCAGACCAAGTTTAGCAACTTCAAGGACACCTTCCGCCAGAACAAGAACGACTCTTGATTTGTCTACTACAAATTGAGCAACAGATACTGCAGATTTAGCTACATCTAAAGCCAGTATTGGAACGCGGACAAAAAGTTTAACAGCTTCTAACGCAACATACGCTACTGCCCGTACAGCTCGACATGCAACATTAGCAAGCATACATGCTACATTTGGTATTCGCCACATACAACTGGTGGTTCTGATGCATGGATAACGGAACCATCCCTTTTTGCACATTCTGAACTTTATTCCAGGGACACATATCTTACGGCAAGTTTTTATTTTGCACAAATTATTCAAGTGTTTTTGGGCTTTATTTAGTTTTTGGATTGCCCTTTCAAAAGGACCTTTCGCACGGTCTAAAGTGTGTTTTGCTTGGTTCATTGAAGACACAGCCGCATCAAAAGCAGAATTACAATTCCGTACCTTTTGTTGAGCCCCTGTTAGTTTTCCTTGAACTTTGGAAATGCCATGTTGTGCAGATGTTAACTTATCTTTCGCTGCATTTAAACGTTTATTTGCAGCATCAGCTGCCTTTTGTGATAAAATTCGCAATCCGTCTAGATAACTTCCTCCAAAATCATGCTCTCCTCTTTTTACCACTAGTTCTCCTCTAACAGAAAAAGTTAGATCGTACCAATGTTTTCCTAGTTCTGTAGAAAGAGATAGTCGAGCAAAGTATACGTTCCATAAATTTCCGTCAAGTGCTATAAACAACTTATTATTGCTGATGAACAAGTCACCTGACGCCTTCATTCCCAAGACTGCAGCATGTGCGCGTAAATGGGCGACAAACTTATTCGATGTTGTACTCAAAGCAATACTTAAAGAGGAACTGAGTTCAAATTTAAGAAAATATCCTAAACTTTTGTACTTTCCTAAACTCGGCATTTTCCCTAATCGTTTTTGAATGGTAGCTCTGCCCAGAACTTTTATAGATGGTTCACCATTCAAAAGTTCATACAACCTTTTACTGCAAAGACCCAGTCGGTCAACTGAATATATAAACTCAATGTCCATTTGCCCAAATCCTAATCTTATCAGATACAAATCGACCGAAAATCTTAGGCCGAATCCATCGAAATTTTTAATGGCAGTGAAAACTTGACCACTAACTTTTGACAATAACTTATCGACATTATGACTTATGATTTTTTGTTCTTCTTTGATAAACCTAGATATGTTAGAGGCAACGACATCTTTCTCAAACTCTAACAAATCTAGAACACCCTGTCCTTTTCTTTTAAAACTGTCAATGTAAGTGGTCCATATATTACCAGCAATATTAGATATGTGTTTTATATCAAGCTGTCCACTTTTTATAACATTTGTTAGCATTTGAACAAATGACAGTGTTAACATCTGCAAGTCTCTCAAAAATGTGCGAACGGTATTAGACAAGTCCTTCCCAAATCTTTTAATTAAATCTATTAATACATCACCAAATCTTTGTATTGCTGCACTGAAATCCTCTATATCAGTCAGAATATTTATCGTATTGTTTGTTGTCGGAATATGGTTTGGACTCGTAGTAAAAAATGCATGCAATCTTACATTCATATCAAACACCCAGTCTTTTACAAGCGGAATATCTCGGAATGGATTTAAATTCGTCATGAAAGATAAAAAGACGCCTTCTGGATTAGCACCATTTCCACACCAAGTCCGTTCCTTTTGTCCTGAAATATATAAAATATATCGATGATATATTTCACCACGTACATGATATATTTTAACCACGTACAAATAAAACTGTACGATCTATACTTGATCAGATAAATACTTTTTTGTCTTTATTTTGAAATCACTTTATATCATAAATGATCGCAGTAAGAGTTATCTTTTTGCAATGTGTCATTTGTTTCGAAGCTGTTTCATTGACACAAAGCCCACATCTTTAAAACAAAACCAATATAACGATAATATTGAAAAAAATGAGAAATGAGTTACTCGTCCATGTCATTATCACTTTTAACATTGTGTAAATCGTGAATAAGATTTCATCACAGAAAATCTCATACAAAATGTCAGAAGTATTTTTCACGAAAGTATGGAACTCATTAACATCGGAAATGGGCTTACCATTATTATAATTAATTACGCCAGTGACATTAACCATGGAATTCATTTTTAATAAACCTACCTAATATACGGCTAAATCATATACCTTTCGAACGCATATCATCTGTACTATCTTTTTTGCCCGGTTTTCAAATATTCGGAATGTGCAATTTCATATCAAGATCAAAGGTCAAGGACATTTTTTTAAGAAATCATCATTTTTGCATATTATGTCAAAACACTACAACGAAATATAAAAGCAAACACTACAGGGGCTCAGGAATTGTATCCAATCCTTAAAATTACAAAGTTTCAAAAATCTTTAATAGGAAAAAACTGCCTAACTACGTGTTACCATATACACTTACATGGATTTGTGATTAAAAACGCAAAACGAAAACAATATTCATTCGAGTATTGAACAAGATTAAACTTCTTAAAATGTTTCACGCTTATTCAACCAAACCAGCAGTAGAATTATTTCTGGTTAGTTTACAGTATGGAAAGGACGACCAAGTACTTCCAAATGCAACGAAAACTTATTTCAACTTAGCCATCGATTTAAAGCAAGGTCAGGTTTGCATATCTCTATATAAATTCGCCTTTTTTTGGCATATACATATTGTTTCCCCAAAATAATAGGATTTTTTAGAGCAATTTTATCATTTCTAGATGATATTTAAGAATTGGATTTGTTGGGGTAAATATCACATGTATCACGAGATTAACTCCTTAATTTGCTTTTGTTTTATACTCATTTAATTCAGATCTGTTATATTCATACTATTTTAGGAAAATAATTATCATACATATACAAGAACCTGAAAAGGTTGTTTCGCTTATTTTTTGCAAAATTTACGAATGTTCATTTTTTACCTTTGACCTTGATTTAACGGAAATTTCACTTTACGAATTATCGACGATCGTAAAAAGTACACATACCGGGATAATAAGCTTCCAAATGGTATATGATATAGTCCTATATTAGATGGGTGCATTAAAGTCGTTAACTACGAAGCTTTTCGAAAAAAATGTCACTCCCTAATTTGTTTTATTCTGATTTTAAATATAGTAAGTTTAAATTTCTGCACGAGAGTTATTTTGGAGAAGAAAAAAATTATTAGCAGAAAATGTGTAACAAGACAAGGGATATTAATCAAAATCGAATATAATGTTAACTGACGATTTCAACATTACGACTGATTGTAATACATGCGTAGCAGAAGACACACTCCATGAGGACTCCACTTGGTCTCGTTCCTTTTGGAGTTCATGCGATTCCTTCAGAGTCATTTTCTTACCTTGACTTATATCCTTTTAATCGGTTTATGAGAAATGAACATCGGTAAAGTATTGTTAATATAACATTAACGATATACATTTCTACTGCAACAACTAACCATTTCGAAAATTTAAGTCTCTTCATAGGAACTAGAAAAACCAAGTAGAATGGTAGAAAAATCTGATAAAACAAAGATAAGAGACTTTTTAATTGACGATATACAAATAATATGAGATTCAGTCATAGCAACTAGATATAGTTCGAAACTCTGCAAAAATAAAAGTTCGTATTGTGCAGATTGAAAAGGAGCTGACTGAACATTGATTGATTAAAAAAGACACCTTTGGGCAGTGCAAATTTGAGCTGTTGCTTAAATGTAGAAAAGAGGCGGAAGATACCAAATTGATATTTTAACGCACAAGTCAAAGACAAACTGACAACACAATAGCAAAAAAATGAAAAACAACGCAAACAACAGTCTACAAAACAAAACATAGAAAAAGACTAAGCAACACGAACCCTACCAAAAGTCAGGGTGATCTCAAGTGCATCAGATGAGTAAGCAAATCCTGTTTCGTATATGGAACCTGTCATGTTGCCCATTTTAGTACATATTCGGTGATACGTCTCATTGTGTGATCTCACATACCAGAAAAGAGGACGTGATTGCGGTTACATAGTCACCAAACTTTGAATTATTTAGTGAGAGCATATCATCTATAAAGCGGAAAGTGAAAGATAAAGGATAATGCTAGCTTCTTTCCATTCTAAATAAGATGTTCCTGTATGCAATCTGACTAATATGAATAAAGGTTTTGTCGGCAATAAGAGGAGTACAGTTGGTTCCCATAGGAATGTCAATTATTTGTTACGTAACAAATTTGTTGTAAATCAAGAAATCGAGTAGAAATGTAAACGAACGACTTTAATGCGAGGTTAATATGCTTGCCCCTACCCAGTTCTATCATAAAATACTTTAAGGATCACATTAAATGGAGGAAATTGATAAATGATTTTATTCTTAAACGGTTATTCTGATCTTAACAACATCTGAAAACAATGCAATATTAAATCATGTTCAATCTTTCATTCAATTTTCTCATTTATCGACCGTGGTAAAATTAAGTACTTTTTAGACCATTCCCTTGGGGTCAATTCAATATTGTTCAGTAGCTTTTTAGACAATTCGGTATGCTGTTAATGTGTACAGGTAAATAACAACTACTGATCAGTCTGAAAAAAGACTGAACCGATGTAATTGACTGCAACCCAGAAATTTATTGATGGAGTAGTACATTATGATAGCGAAAATTTAAATAAACAAAGACAATACCTCCAATTGACAAATAAGCTTCTATGCTGGCAGTCACTATGTCGTTAAGTGCTAAGGTTACATTCTGGTTAAACATTTTGAATGTGAATGCAGGTGTAAGACCCAATTCTTTAATCTGCAATAAGGCGTTCCATTCGTCAACAAATAAACCCGTCAGCAACTAGAGATAAAATAAAAACTAAATAAAAACGTATTACACACTGCACACTTTCTAATGCTTGTAGTTTTAGTGAGTCTACAAAAGACTGATCAGAGATGCTCGTATCAAACAAGTTATTAAGGCCAAATAAAGAACGAAGCTGAAGAGCATAGAGGACCGAAAGGTTTTGCCAATGAATAGGGTGTAGTGAATGCATTTTATCGTTTTCTCAAACACACACACTATTAATGAATAATTTTAAACATATCATCTCATGTATATAGCTCGTTTCATGTGTGTCCATTCAAAAAAATGC